TTGTTCTGTTAAAGAGAAAATCTGCCTGTTTCAGTGGACCATTCCCCCTTTCGGTCACTTCTTACATAAATTCTACGGTTTTCTTTCGTCGCACGCATTTGTGTACACACAATGTGTGCCACACATTCTGGTTTCTCTGCTTATTTTATTTTTACCCTACAACTGATCTCTTATACATCTATCTTGACTTGATTATATCTTCGTTTAGAAAAAAAAAACACGGAAAAAACATCTAAATTGTCATCACACATTTTTGACTTTGCTTCATTATTTGCATGGCTTACGGACTAGCTTAGGCTTTGCCTTGTTCAAATTGGTGGTCTCTATCAACTATAATTTGACAAACAATATTAACTCATCGTTTGTTAAAGACTTTAGCATGCTATTCGAAATAGCCCATTCCACTGTCATGGTCTATGACTCATGGAATGGTCGGAATTGAAAAGAAAATTGCTCAAACCCAAAAAATATGCGAAATTATCTCAGTTTTGCTTCGAACGAAAATTATACAAAAATACCCCAGTTTTTTTTCACTTAAAATTAAACTATTATTATGAAAATGTTTAAATCTGAGTCGAAGGAGCTTTGTGTTATTACCTTCTTTACCTTATAACAGCACGATAGAGAGCATTTAGATCAAAATACAAAAGCAATACGCTTGGATTTACTTAGAAATTGGCATGGAGATTCGTTGCGCTGTTTGAAAGTCGGAAAAATGGAAAGTAGGCGATTTTTTTTTCGGATTCAGTAATAAGTGAGTTCTTCTTGAGAATCATAAAAATGCATTTTTATTTCTACTCTTAGTTTTTCTTCGTTTTCATTTTTTACTCCTTCATCTGCGCTTTCATCGGGTCTGTTTTAGGTTCTTCTTCTTCTTCTTTTTTTCTTTGTTTTTCGTCTTTTTCTTCGTTTTCCTTCTCGTTTTCGTTCTCTTCTTCCCTATTTTTCCTTTTTCTCCCTCATTCTTCTTCTTATACTTCTCTCCCTCTGTTTTCTTCTTCAAAAACCAGTCACTTTTCATCCAAAAAAAAATCATAAAAATCAGTCACTTTTTCTCAGTCAAAGTATCGAAGAATGTTCAATGAATGTGTTTTGAAAACATCGTAAATCTTAAATTGCATATTTATTGAATTGTGTCGTTCCCTTTAAATCCATTTTATTTTCTCTTCCTTCCTATTCACACTCTCAACCAGCGCAAACAAATGCACCCTCCTGCCGGCCTTATTTAAAAATTGCTGTTTTGATCTATTTGATCTGAAATCACTAGCTAATTTGTTTTGTTTGGAATCACAGATCCGCTTTGAAGGGCAACCTCGCCGTTTCAACGGAGACACACGATCAATATTGTTGCAACTGTACAGAACATTCTATTTTGTCTGGTTTTTCATCAATATTGGATTTTTGTTTTCCTCAAAATTGAATTGTTTTTTCATCAAAAATCGAAAATTCCAATCCAACTGCATCTTCTGCACCAGTTGCAATATTTTCTGATCCAAAATGTGTCCCGTCATTTGTCCGAACTCGGTTCCATTGAATGCGTAAAAGTATCATATTTCATTTAACCTAGTTCTTAATGCTAAAAGCAAAACAAAAATTGCGTTTCATCTACCAAAAGCGCGAGCCACAAACACATTTAGAGAATTAGAAAACGGTTATTGTGTTGCTTTAATATTACATTCGGTGAACGATTTGGGTTGTGCTTCACAGAAGCTGCTTTGCCATCGATTCATTTCGTTTCCATTTAGAATTACCTTACACTGATTCGGTCCGTGCTTACAATTGTGATAAATGGGTTGGTGTGAAATGTCCAAATTTGATTGGCATTTGCACCGAAGACAGAAATGCAATTAAAATCTATATGTGTCTTACAGAAAATTAAATGCCTTAAAAATTAAATTGTACTTTGTCATCCAGCCCTCTGTTTGTGGACCACAAATTGTGGTTCCATTCTTGTGAAAACACATACAATGAAATAATATCCAAAGAATGCTACGGTTTCGCTAAAAGCGTCTGCTAAATGGGAATTTCTATTGGAAACTAAGGATTGATCTATTGGAACTAAAAAGAACTTCTAGGAAAAGAAAGTTCGCGGACATAATTCCATGGACTTTGGACTTATATTGTTTTGTTGTTGTCCGGCCGTGGAATTATGTACGGAAGCCGAAAAGAAAAGAGAAAATCTATTGAAATTTGGTGCGAGCTACCATTCTAAATGCACTAAAACATACAAAGCGTTCAGTCGCTAAACTTTCTTCAATTCAAACCTGAAGTGTTTACCTTCAATCTTCTGTTTTTACTCTAGAAGGTCTTTTATTTCAAACTGAAAATCATACCAACCGAAAATTTGCACCGATTTTGCCCCAATTGGCCCACATTCCGTATACAAATGAAATGATAAAAACCGATGAACAACTGAAAAATGCTAAAAAAGTTGAAAAAGGCTAGAAAAAAAGCTGAAAAAGGCAAAAATAAGCTGAAAAAAGCTGAAGAAGACTTTAAAAAAAGGCTGTAAAAGCAACTGAAGGGCAGCTAAAGAACATAAAGTCAAGCAGGCTAAAGAAAAGGGGTCATGAAAAATCATAAAAAAAAGAACAAAAATTGCTTGTATATTTTTTGTTTACTTCATTCGTATATTATCAATGTTTGCTTTTCCATATCAAATAAATGAATATGCTTATAAATGTATAGTTTTTCGTTCACTTTGAAAATAATAATTGTAATTCTTTCTTTTTGATTTGATTCATTCGATACATGAATAAGAATTATAATTACGTAAATATTATTAAAAAGAAAAATGAAGAAAAAGACGAAAAAAAAAAGAAGTAGTTTACAATTAAAAAATAAATTTCTTCTCTCGTCCAATTTGTCTCTTAAATTCTCAATGCATGCGCTTAAAAAGGAGTCGGGGGCAATGAGCGTGCGTGCACGATCGAGCATGCGCTCTTTGCCATATTTTTTGCCATCCATAGAAATTTCTTTTAAATTGTTTTTTTTTCTTGGGGGAAAAAAATCGATAGATAGGCAACTAAATGCTAGCGAATATTTTTGTTTTATTATAATTTTTTATCTCTTTATAAAATAATATGTACAAAAAAAGATTTTTTTTAAAAAAAATTTTGTATTGAATTCAATTTTCCGTCTCGATACGATACTCAATTTCTTTTCTTCTCTTTTTTTCGGTTTGCATTCCGTATATAATCGCGTGCGTGTACAAACATTTAAGCTAAGAATTTTCTTTTCTGTTGTTGCTTTTGACACAAGAAAAAAAATGTATGAAATGGGGAACAACCAAAAACGTTGTCTCTACAATCCAATTAGTCTAAGAAATGAATGATTTTTTTTTTTTTTTTGTATAAAAAAAGGCAATCGATCTGTTTACTTATAAACACAATTTGTTTCCAATTTCATTTAGAGCTATTTTTTCATCCATCATGATTAATTTTTCATTCGTATCTTTGCGACTTTAATTGAATCCAGTTCTAAAAAATATTGTGTTTTTTTTAGCACTACATGAAATGCTATTGTTTTTATTATGGGACTACATGTTTATCTAGGATCGGGAGATAGAGAGAGAGATGCAGAGCTGCACGTGCAAAAAGTGCTCAAGAACCAAAAAAGCTGAAGCAAAACAATTTCCAAAAGAAAAAAAAACTTGTTTCGAAATGAAACATATATCTCTATGTCTATGGATTAGGAGAGAGTGAGAAACTTATAAACCAGGGGCGAGAGCAAAACATAAAAGTACAAAAAAATGAGAAGGCATTCTACGAACGAACGAAAATTTGAGAGAGAAATAAGAGATCATTTGAAAACTCTGTAAATTAAAGCGAACTATACATATAGCTTTGTTCTTTACGTTTTGTTTCTTTTTTGTTTTTCGTATAAATTATGGGTGTGTGTTTTTTGCGACTGTTTATTTGAGAAATCATTTTTTTTCGCAGTTTTTTTTTGGTTGTTTCGTTTCTGTCAAAAAAGTTTTTTTTGTTCGCGCTCGAATCCAATGAATGAAGAGTTTTCCAAATTGTCTCACATGGGTTTCATTGTCTCACAAGAGTTAGGTCAAATAGAATCCAGAAAAAATGACAAATGAAATTCGTCAACACTCGCTATTGACTCAACTTCCACATGGTAAACCCAAAAGGAGATAGAGTGTGGTCAACTCGGTAGTGAGTGCAAAAATGTGAAATGGACCAGAGAGCGAGAGAGAATAGTGCTTTTGGTGCAGTTGGTTTTGTTGAACCGAGTATGTGAGACTCTCTTACCGAGTTGAGTTGAACCGAGTGTGCGTGTGTGTGATAGAAAGGTGAACATGCACTATTTTTTGGGCGGTGTGTGTGTGTGTTTGTGTATGAACAATGTTCAGAAAAACAGGAAAAAAAATATGCTATTGTAATTATGTTCTTTGATTCCATGTGTATTTTTTTCACTCTTATTCCATTAGATTTGGCTACAAATGAGAACACTGTCTTTTCTTAAGCAATTATATGTACAAAGAGATTGGTTTGTTTGTTTTTTGACAGAAACAAAAAAGTCTAGAGTAAAAAAAATAAGGAGAAAATTAAATCGAATAAGTAAAAAAAAAGGAAAAAAAAAAGTAAACGAGATAGAGAGAGATATATAGAAAATCTGGTGCGTGCGCCTTCTATTCTCTGTTCATTGTTTTTTTTTTCGTTTTTTAATTACAAAAATAATATATGGCAATTTGAATTTCATGCTCATCTGCTTAAACTTGGTCATCCACTAAATTGTAGGGTAAATGCTAAACAAAAAAAATTCTTAAATTTTTGTTATCGTTTTTTTTTCTTTACTTTTTGTTTGAGATCAGAAAGAATGGTAGAAATACAAGATACAGAGCAGATCACTTTTCGAATCCCGATGATTTGACCAGAAAAGAGCTTCTTTTCGATCAATCTCGGATACAATTTCATCTATTTACAGCACATATTCAATTTTATCTCTTTTTTCATATTTTTCGTTTCCACTGTGTGTGTGTATGTGTGTTTTTTTGAATATAGACGTGAATAAATTTTATTGCGATTTTTGCGAGTTAGTGAATCCTTTCTCTTATTTACAATATATCGTTTCCGCTTTTTTATTTCTTTTCGTTTCCATTCAATTTTCTTTTTTTCGTTTTCGATGTTCGATTTTCAATTAAATTTCAGCACCAATTTGATATTTTTTTTCGTTTTTTATTTTGTCTTCGTTAACACTCATTAGGTGTGTATGTTCTCAATTGAGATTTTCATTCTTTTTTACAAACAAGAAGCAATTCGATTTGGTTAGCTTTTGCAAATATGTGTGAAAAACTGGAATCGTTTGAAATTCAATTTGAAACCCTCAACATCGTCTCTTAATCGCTTAAATATTATTCATTCTTCGTTCATCGGCGTTTTTTTTTTTTTCAACGGGAGGAGAGGGCTTAATATACTATTTTCGAGTGAATTATGTCTTTTTCGCATTTAGGATAAGTAAAATGAAACCAAATCGATACGAGTTATAGACGGAACATTGCATCCTTTATTTTGGAGCTATTGAGGTTTTCGATTTAAAGCAGCTGACCTTCAACTGCTGGAGTTTTTGAGTAGAAAAAGGTGAAAATTTCGATTCAAAGTTGTCTTGTATTGTTTGTTTAGTCTTCGTTTGATGGACTTTGAACTTTGAAGATTTTTTATGGATGAAAAATTTGACGTCCCCGGATGGAACCGATTTGAATTCGGTGGAGATTCGAATGAATTGAATCTAAACGAGTTTAGACGATTTTGGTCGAACCGAGTCGAGTCGAGTCAAGTCGATTTGAGTCAACTGCACTGCGATCCGATCCGATTCTATACCCTGTCTAATCCAATGGAATCGCGTCGAATTTTCAATCAAAAACTCCTCCAAAAAGAATCAAAAACCTCGGATCGAAAACCTCGAATTGAAAATTTCGGATCAAAATCCATCTCCGAATCAAAAACATCTTTCGATGAAATGTTTCCGTTTGATTAACTTTCTATAGAATGTGTAAAGTAGGCAAAGATTTCAACTGGAATATTTCAATGATTAGTTGTGTGTGTAAAATAAATGTGTTTGAAAGTAAGAAAAGTAAAGATTTATTGGTTGCAAAAAAAAGGAATATAAAGATTTCTGGTTAGTTTCGTATAAGTATACAAAGAAAAAAAAAAGGTGTATGAGTTTTCGTAGTGTTTATGTGTAATATTATTATATGATTAAATCGTAAATCTCAATTTCTTCTTCATATTTTTGTTTGCGTTCAATTCTTAATCCCATTTTCTCAATATGAATAGGTTTATTTTCTCTTTAATATAGTTTATTCTTGTGGCAATATATAGAATAGAATATGTTTTGGATATATATTTAATATGTGTGTGTGTATTTTTTTTTATACTGCATCTCCACCACAAAACTGAATAGAATATATTGAGATCAAATTCTGTTTTCGTTATAAATTTATTGTTGTTTTCATTTTTTAGCACAAAATGCTTCTTTGTTTAGATGCTGTCTATTTGCTGTGTGTTTTGGTCTTACTTTTAATTAAATGTGTATCGAAACCGTGTGTGTATGTCTTCTCACAGCTTGAGCTGCGAGAAACGTGTTGCTAACAACATTTCGTAAAGAAATCTCAATGAAATTTTCAATCACATCATCGTCTAAATCGAAACCATTCTTTTTTTCTTTGTTTTAGAGATCGAAGGGAAACGGCAAAATAAGTCCAGTTTATAAAAAAAAAACAGTTCCGAAGCGGAGAAAAAGAGAGTATCATTTACAGGATATAGGATACAATTAGATCAATTTCGGAGAATGTGTCTCTCTGAAGCCATTATACAATGATTTGTTTTTTTTTCGTCTTTTTTCCATATTTTCTCTTAAAATTGTTAATTTTTTTTTGTTGCAAAGGCTTGGGTCATGCCACACAATAGAGTGCAAAAAGGTGCGATTCTCTATGGTGAACAACCACACAAAAAAGCCCTTCATATTTTTCAATTGTTTTAAACAGAAATAAAATGATAACACCATTTGTTTTGCGAAGAAAAACTAACAAATTTCCGCCACAAGAAAAAATCACAAACATTTTACAAATGCCTTCGTTTTTCTTATATCTTCTTCTTTTTTTTCCTCAAATTTTTTGGATTTTCTTCATATTTTTTTTTTCTCTTTAAATTAACGTTTTTTTTTTAAAATTTATTCTTATTTATCTTCTTTCGTCGCGCGTGGAAATGAAAAAAAAAACATTCACCTTGTCTTCACAATCACAATATGCTTTAATGAGCTGTTCGGATAATGATACACAAAAAAATAGAGAGAGAGAAGAGTTAGAATTAACCGAAAACAACCGTTTTGAAGAAAGTTTTTCTGAAAGAACACGCTGGGCAAAAAACCGAAATGAAAGAAGAAAATGAAAATGAAAACTTATTGAAACTGTGAAACTGTGTGTGGCATTCGGTCGGTTTTCGGAGGCGGCGACAAAAAAAATTTGAACAAAAAAGCAACGAAAGAAATGTGATAAATAATTGCAAAATGTGACAAAAGAATGTCGCTCGAGCAACTGCGGCAGCGGCGGCGGAAGCAGTTGCATCGAGTCCAAAACAAAAGCTATTCGCTCGCGTTCTTTTTTGGGTTCTTTTCCTTCGTAAAATCACAATCGCTTTGGGATTTTCGTCATTTAAAACAATATCATTTTGATTTAATGTCCGCTTCTCGGTGCATTTCCATTTTGTTTTGTTGGTTCTTTTGTCTTTTTTTGGGCGCGACCAAAACAAACGCGCGTCTTCTTGACGTGCATGCTTTTTGATTTCGATTTTTGGTCACGCCAGTTCGGTATTATCATTTGAATTATATTTATGTACAAATATGACGCGAGAAATAAAAAAAAAAAATTGAAAGGAAAACGATTAAACAACTAAAAAAAGATAGTGTTATGTCTTAAGTCATGTCTATCTCGGACTCGTTGTATTGAATTCGGATTTGTTTTCTCATATTTTTTTTTTTGGTTTTCAACGAATGATTTTTTCTTCTTCTTCTAAATCTAGCGACACAAAAAACAGCCTCTTCTGTTTTATTTTTCTTCATTTCAATCGAACACCACTTTCCACTTATCAAACCAATTCCATTTTATCGGAGTATTTTGGACCAATTCGGTTTTGTTCTGGATTCAATTCAATTTTGAATGGATCGAAAATTGAATTGAATTGAAATCAAATGTTGAGAACCAAAAACGTTTCTTTTTTTTTGCTGGCACCAAAAAAACGCTTGAATTTTTCGTTCAATATGTTTTTTTCTGTTCATTTTGTTGGGTAGCAAAAAAAATATCAATTTAACTAGTGTAAAGAATGTCAGAAAAAAGTATGGAAAAGCACACGGAACAAGCGGTGGATGAATCAATTAGTTGTGGTTTAGTATGAAAGCAAAGCCTTTCTTTTTTCCCTTCAGAAATTGTTTTGATTTTGTTTGTTAAAAAGATGTTGCCTGTTCAAATTGAGCCGTCGCAAGTGTTTTTTCGATGGTGGTGGCTTATTTTTCGCCAGTAAAAACGCAAAGTCTCAATTTTCGGCAAGCAAAAAAGTTTCAATTTGTGTATAGTAGTTGATGATTCACTTTAAAAATGACTTTGTTTTTGCAACCAAAACCAAAACATCATCAATTCCGGGAATTGATTTCGTAATAAAAGAGAAGGCATGAAAAGATTATCGCCTGTTTTGCCACACAACCAATTCATTCTGGCACACATCGCATGGCATCGTGTGCCCTTTACTTCGTCTTCCTTGGACTAGCTTCCTTCTTGACTTTGTATTTTTTTTTTCTTTTCTCTTTTTCTATTGTTTTGTTCATTGCTTTTTTGCTTGATTCTTTTTTGCTAATGGCTCCTCTTGCAATATGCTAAAAAAAATCGTCTCTTAATCACTATTTTTTCGCTAAATATTAATATTTGAAATGCTTTTTCATAAATGGGATATTACATAATATATATTCAAACAGTAGAAAAAAAGGATGCATTTTACAATTGTTACAGTTTTTTTGTTGCTGTGCGGTTGTGTGATGAGCTCCAAGGAAATATGTTAACGGTTTCATGCGAAATGATCGCATTTCTATGGAATTCCTGTTGTTTTCGTTTTGTTTCGGTTATAAAATGTTGCGGAGAATTGTTTTTTGGTTGGTAATGAAGAGCCGATGAATTGGTGTTTGATACGTTTCATTGTGGTACGTTGTTTTCTGTCCGGATGATGGTGACTGATGTTTCATAAACTGTTGTTGTTATGTTCTCCGTTTTTTTGTTTATATTCGTTTTGATGTTGATTGTTGTTGTTGTTGTGAGGTTTGTTTGTGTGTTTTTTTTGTTTCAATATTGGCCAATTTTTACCTGGAATTGGTCGTAAGCAGCACGGTGTGTAGACCATTTAAACTATCATCATTCGCTTGTTCTTTCCCGGGAAACGGTACGTGATTGCTTGTTTACCGTGACACCAAGAAGCCACATCCAACAGCCAATACGACGGCAGTTACAGCGACTGCTGGCCACATCTTTGGATCCTGCAATAAAGAAAATTTTCCAAAAACAAATTAGTATTCGAGTTTTCAATTCGAAGAAATTTTTCTCAGGACGAACTATTTTTAATATTTTTTGCTTCATTTTCATTTTTCGTAGAACAAGTTTCAAATGAAGAGTCTCGAAAATAATAACGAAATTGAAAAGAACCAAATTCGAGATTTAAAAGCACACAGAGAGTTAAAAAAAACACCAAGAGAGACTTTGAAAACATTTCCAGGAAGCAACCAGTGAGACCATCGATGCATCGAATGGAGCCACATTTCATGGAAAAATGAATGCATTCTGCATTCGCAACGTCAGTGTTTGAAACACAGTATTTTAACACGAATGATTGCATCATTTGTGTTCAGCGAATTTTTTTTTATCATCCAAATGAAATCATCGGTAACAAAAGCGATTATAATAAAATTCTCTCTCCCTGAAGGGCAATTGGTCATTTTGCCATAAAATGGAACAAAAATTAGAGCACATGGCAGCTAAAAGCATTTTTCTAACTGGCCACCGGATCAATTGCGGTGGTTCGACTTTTTTGTTCCTCTCTCCCGGGCAATTGTCTGTCGAAATAAAAATTTGTACTACACGAATGAGTGTAGCAAGAGACACAGAGAGACCGACAGAGAGGGAAAGTGAATTCACCCGAAGGGAACTCTATTACAAGCTACAGACAATTGCTCTCACTCCGAAGTGGTCAATGTGCTACAGTTTAAGTACAGCCTAATAAATTGATTATTTTGATATTTGCACATAAATAATAATCACCAAAATTATGTTAATGCTGTGCTTTCTTCGGTGGTTTCGTTTAGCAAAGCGTGAAGAAATCGAGTGTGGAGGGTCTGTCGATCGATATTTCTCTGACTATTGAGATGGAAAAACGTTTCACATGTGTGTATCGACCGCATCGGATTCGAAACACAAAAGAGACACACGAAAAAAAGAAACTGGAGTAATATCAATGCCCATACGGTATATTTGTATGCCATTGTCCATCGTCAATGGTTTATTATAAATGCATTTATTTACGAATGATTTTTAGTGTATTACCGAACTCGAATGTATGAAAAGATGAACTATAACCTTCGGTGTGTTCAGAACAAAGGCCGAACTTGAGTATAAAAATAGTTTTTGGGATGATTTTCATCTGTGTTTCGATAATGCGGCGGAAAAAAATGCAGTAAATCACCAATCGGACTCTTTGGGGACCATATTTGCATAGCTTCATTTTTCCAGCAAAATCAATGGCAAAATCGACAGCTGAACTAGCCCGGGAAAGTGCGTACGTCGGAAATAAAAACGAATTTAGTGTAAAATGTTTATTTATTGATTTGATCTTTGACACTGCACAATGGCCATAGTTTAAGTGCATTGTTCGAGTATTGGCTTCTCTTTTTTTTTAGATAGTTACAAATTGAAATACAAATGAAAACATAGTTTTTTTCTGTATCTGCGTCGGTTCAAATCAAACCGCTAAATTTGTCTCGTCTAAAAAAAACGTCCAGAACTATAACAATATTATGCTAATGAGTCGGTTTTTTCTTGTTTGTCTGTGTTTGCCTCGGGCACTTTTCCAGTTGGTTCAGCAATTTACAATGCCATATTATTTCTGGCATATTTAGAACACCAGCGCAAACGAAAGTAACTGTGCATTGTTGAGAGAAAGAGACGAGAAAAAAAAATGTGTGCAACACAAATTTAATAACTAATAAAAAAACAATAAAGGCACGAGCCTTTTTTTACGTTTCCAATCGAGAGGCCAGAGAGAGAGAGAGAGAGAGAGAGCGAGAAAAAATTGTATACGTCCACAATTTGTGTTGATTAAAAGTGGAATCGGTCGAGCGATGGAGGTGCATTGTAAACGAAATATCATTAAATTCAATTCGCTCGCCTCTCGGTTCTACGTGCGCGCCCCGCGTCGCAACTGTGGCAAATACGCAGTTCAATAAACCACGTGCGTTATGTTTGGTTCTTGTTGCTTTTTCTTTATTGCTTCGATTTCGTGTCTTTTGTGTGTGTGTTTTCATGTTCTCGGCCACACAGTAAATGGTGTGCGCGGCTAGTAAATGGCCGACAATTGAACTCATGTTAAGTGACACGCTTGTTTGGACAATCAATTTGATTTCTAGTTTTCGTTTTTTTTTTAGTTCGAACTTTTGTTTTCATTTATTTATTTATTGGGCGGAATTAGCTAGCGCAGAATTCTATTCTATCCCAGCTCGACTATTTTATTTGTCTAATGGCATATGGCCCTTGTCGTTGCTATTCTCATTCGTATTTTTTAGTGCACACAAATCATCGTGACCACAACTTGTATGAAATATTCAATGCTTTCTGTCTCGATTCGAAAAATTATTAGTTTTTCAATTGGTATTTCTTCTCTGTCCGGAATCGATTTCCGTGCAACGAAATCGAAATACTTGAAATCACAACACCTGTGTGTGTGTGTGGGTATGCTTCGACCGAGTGTAAGGGATTTTGTCATCGTTGCCTCAAGTGACTTTTTTAAAAAATTTATTACGCTATAGATTTTACTCGAGCGACACTCGCTTTGTAGTGAATGCGAATTTTCTAGCATATATTGGGAAAAAAACACCTACTAAGAGAGAAAAAGCAAAAAAAAGGTGCAAAGGTACTTACTCTGGCTTTACGTGGCTGTTGTGCATTGATCGTATCTCGCTTTTTACGAGGTGGAATGCGACCGGAAAACTCTGGCAGGTGCTCACGTGGAGCTATATATCGCTCCTCGTAATCATCGTACGATGGTTGCTCATCGTCATAGTCGTCTTCATCGCTGGCGGATGTCAAGCGATATCTATTTCGTTGAAAAGAGAGTGAAAAATGTCGTTTTTCTTTTTAGATTGCAGTAGGAAAACGTTTTTTTTAATTGCAAAAGGAACGAAATGATCCAACATCTGATTTGAATATGGAATTTTGATTCCGTTGGAAAAAAAACTCCATTCAGTTTGTTTTATTCCAAAATAAAAAGGAAAATGAAATGAAATGGAAAAATAAGAAAAAGAAGAAAAAAATTTAACGAGAAAATGTGTTTCCATGAAAAAATAGTATGACGGAGTGACTGAATGGGTTTCCAAAGAAAAAAGTTTATTGAAAAAATGAAAACAAAAAGAAAATAGAAAAAACCATCATACCTTCGTCTTGGCACGCTGACACTTCGGGGTGACCATTGTGCGGATCGGTAGTCATCGTGCATACGAATGCTTGACGGTGTTGATGGTTGCACTGATGAACTACTTGAGCCGCTACCGCTGCTGCTGCTGCTACCGCGTGGAAAGAAGACGTCGCCGTTTCCATTTGGATGTGAGCATGATGGGCTGGGTGGCGGAGATGTGAGAATACCTGGTGATCCTATGAAATGAAAAAAGAAACAAAAGTGTTCAAGTTAGTCAGAAACGATTCTATATAATCTTGATGGAAAAATCGTTGGTCGGCAAATGTGAATGAAGTGCATTTCTTTGAATTCTGTGGCTCGATGTGGCGGCATCGGCATCGTGTGTGGCATCGCGCGGCATAATTGAAACAATAAATGATAGATTTCGATATTAAAAAAAAAATCACGAGCCAAAAGTGTGTGTAATTGAGGATATAAAATGCGGTGAATGGTTTTGAGTCAAGTGCTTACACAAGCACTTAATCGCGCGCTGCCACGAATCGAAGCCTCGAACGAACAGCAATAATAATCATTAAAATCAAGTGATATTACTTGATTGATAAATTCATTTTGACGATTGAAATTCAAGCATGTGGTTTGCGTAACAAGATGCTGCTGCTGCTCGGCTGCTGCTATAATCAACTTAATGGATACATTTATTGCGTATCGAGAAAAAATCGTAAAAAAAATCATTTTTATGCTTGCATTTAGTGTGTGTTTCTGTGTGTTCTGATTCTCCCTTGCCATTTTTTTTGCCATCAAAAAGCATAAAAAAGTGAGCGAGCAAACACGCGAGAGAGCGGCAGCAGAGAAAATAAAAATTAATAGATATAATTTTTATGTGCGTTGCATTTTTAAGTATTTATGCTCAGTGTGTGTGTGTGTGTGTGTGTGTGTGTGTGTGTCATTGAGATTGTTTAACGGTTTCCTCTGCAATTCGATGTAAAAATCCCGAATTAAAAAGGTCCTTCAGTCTACGAACTCAATTCGCTGTCTGTATTCGATTCCATTTGGAAGTCGCATTCGATTTCTCTTTCACTCTTCTTCTCTCTTTTTTTCTCTTTCTATCGCTCTCTATCACCCTCTATCGCGCTCATTCAATCTCTTTTGCTCTCTATCGCTCCCTGTCGCTCTCTCTCTCACACACACTCGATTCCCGCTCACACGTATTCAATCACTTTACACGCATTTGTGCCGAATGTAATCACTCAAATTGAAAGTAATAAAAAGCGCGCCCAGAGAGAGAGAGAGAAAAATTGTAATAAAAATAAATCTGCACATACTCAAGAGCCGCACAGACGAAATGGATGCGAAAAAAGATTCATCAATTGCATCTCTCACATCAAAAAACACAAACGAAATAAATAAATATGTGTTTGAAATGCAATATCTTCATTAATTTTTCGAAATTATGTGTGTATTAATAACTGTTTTATCAAGTGTGTGAGGAGAACGAGATGTTGTAGAATGATAGAAAAACCTAGTTAACAACCCAATTAGACTTCGTATAAATATAAATCCAAACATGAATATCGTATTCGTACGCAGTTCCAATTTCCATGTTCCTCTCTATCTTTTCGCAGAAGGCAACAACAACACGGACGCGAAGAGTAAATTGGATGCATTTTGAAGTTCGATGATGCGGGATTTATGCGTTTTGAATCCACACACACACATACTCACACTGTCTGTCTG